CAGTTTAAAAACAAGAGGCATTTCCAGGACACTATAGTGCGCCTAAATGTGGCAGTGAAAATAATTCTGTCTATTCTTTCACTCATTTTAAAAACAAGAAATGCAGAAAAAGAACTGAAAACCAGCTAGCCAACTAACTGACATTACAGGCCTTTCTCCTTATAGTATGATGAAGCTACAGATTTCTACCATGTTGAGCCGGTTTTTACTAAGGTTGTTTATTCCCTACTTTGAAGCTAAATTCCTCCCACTGCAATTTAAACAGGTTCTATCTTGCTTTATCCTCAGCTGAATCTAAGCAAAGCAGTTCCCCATCACTAATATGATATTGTATTCCTTTAAATCCTTTAAGATGCAGGCCCTCCTCTCCTACCCCAAAGATTTTTCTTTGTCTAGCTGCACAAATTCAACTCCTCTAGCATTTAAAATTAGGCCCATCTTCAAAATGTTTTATTGTATTTGCTATTCTCTTTAAAACCTTCCTCCAAATCTATATACACTTTTTAAATGCAGGAAGAAAAAGTCTTCCAATAAAGTCCAAATATTACCAAACAAAGAACTCACTGCACAAATCTCATATGCTTTCTACTATTTAAGCAGTTTACTTAACTGCTGGAGAGTATTTCACTTGTGCCTTACTGAAATACATACATGCACACACCTGACATAAAATTAACCTTAGGTTCAAAATTTACAGGCTCATTGTCCCTCACTTATCAGAAAACCCACAGAATAAATGTGACTGAAATCCTCTTCTCTGAAACATCTTTAAAATTGAATATTCATGAAACATTTTGATTACTCCCCATTAATAAGAAGAATGGTAAACTGACAAGCAGCCTTGAAATTTCATGCTTATTAGATATGTACATTAAAGAATATTACGATAAAACTACCTGAACAGCCTAACTCTAAGAGTGCACTGCTAAAAGAACAATGTGTGATAAGCAATGAAGATATTCCGTAAGTAACTAAGGAAGATATAAACTAGAAGAAGCACAAATAAAACAGCTCTAGTTAATATTAAATTTAATAATGATAGTAGTACATAGAACATAGTCCTAATTCAGTTCTTTTATGACTGTGAAGAAAGATAACCAACTGTGGTCATTGAAAGTAAAGAGTATCAGATACAAAATAGAGCTGAAATCAGCCTACAAGTAGCAAAAAAAAGACCCTGGCATTTTATTGCTTCCTGAAGTCGAGAAAGAAACTAAATTATGGAAAGAAAATGAAATCTATATGTACTATTATCACTACCTGAAGGGTAACTATTATCACTTCCTGAAGGGTAGCTCTGAATTTCTTCAAGAAACTGAGAGAAATAGCACTTAGTTTACCTTCTGGGAACTAAACCAGTAAAACTGTCACGTGATGAATGAGATTTACTCCTGTAGAGCCTAGGCATTCAAAAAAGCACAAAGACCAAGAGATATCTCCAAATTTTTATTCACTATTCTAGCATACAAGTTCTACTATACGATGCAGAGTCTGTTACATATATAAAGTAAAAGGCCACATTAAATGAGAGTGCTCGGTACTCACCTGTTAAAGAATATTTCACTGTGGCCTTACTCATGGCCCTTCAGCCAACCTTAGAATACACAATATAGGGACCAGCAAATGATATAAAGGTTACATCACTGGACTCCCATATAGCCAACACAGTTCAAGTTCCAGACCTGGGCAGTTTAAAACTCACACTGGGCATGTGTGTGTGCATGCCCTAAATCCCGAGAGGAGAGTGGAGAAAGAACTGTCGCATGGTCATCCCCACTATGGGGTGATTTCTTGCAGTACCTTTCTCTGTCTCTCTGGTGAGCACATGCACCCTATGGCAAAAATCTCCAAAAAAAAAAAAAAAAGGAATACACAAATACACAATATAATTATGATTCTATTTCGATCAGTTGTGAATGTTAAAGTTTCACTGTGTCAATATAATTGTCTTTTAAAAATGTAATCTTTTTCTGAGACCAGCAGTTAGTGTACTGGCTATGTCACTGGACTCCCATGTAGTCGACTACGGTTCAAGTCCTGGACCTGGCAGTTTAAGCTCACGCCAGGCACATGTGCATGCATGCCCAAGATCCCAAGAGGAGGATAAAGGAGAAGGGACTGCAGCATGGCCATCCCTCCTGGGGAGTGATTTCTTACTTTCTGTCTTTCTGGCAAGTGCATGTGCCCTATAGCACAAACCTCTCCAAAATAAATAAATAAATAAATAAATAAATAAATAAATAAATAATAAAAAGTAACCTTTGTCAAGTTAAATATGAAAAACATGGGGTCAGAGAGTGGTACAGTAGCAATGCGGCTGGATTCACAGGAGAAGGTCCAGGATTGCATCTTGGGGCCTCCCTGTACATGCTGGACAGAGAGACAGACAGACACACACACACACACACACACTACAGTCCACTGGTCTGGGATGGCAGATGCTAGGTGTAGACCAGACATGAAGACCCTGCTGTGGATGCTTCTTTCTTTCTCCATCTCTCTCATAAGAAATAAACTCAAATAAAAAGAATATGAAAAGCAGGTTTTAGAAAACTTAGAACAATAGACTAGGGGCCAGCAGGTGTGGTGATTAAAGCAGCTGTATCCCACATGGCCAATGGTGGGGTTTTTTGTGCCTGACTGTCAGCTGGAGAGATGCACTGGGCATGTGTGCACACCTGCCCAAAATCTGAGAAGGCAAATGGAGGAGAAAGGATTGTGGTGTGGCCATTCCCCCTGTGGGATGCTTTCTCACTTTCCCTCTCTATGTGTCTGTCTCCTGCAAGCACATATGCCTTCAAAAAATTTATTAAAAATAAATAAATAAAGAGTAAATGAGAAAAAAAAAGAGCTATTATCTTGTTATCTAATGACTGTCTTTAGCATCTGAGGGATGAAAGTGTAAATGAAAGTAGGTGGTCTAAATTAAGTCTTAAAAAGAGAATTCCAAAATTCAGGGATTTTTCAACGTATAGATGAGCCCTGACCAGGGGAAATGGTACTCTGATGGGCTGAGAGAATTGAGCTCACTGGATGAATATGCTCTGGCTCTGACTCCACGTCCATCAAAGGATGCTCTGTTACAGTCTGTGCCTCTTCCTTTCCAGCTTTGCTGCTGTGAGAATGTGCTAAGCAATGGACAGAGCTCCAACTACATTTATCATTGTAAATTATAGAATTGTCATTGTAGTTTACATATTAATTTTTTAGATGTTTAGTTAAGGTGACTCAGTTCTCGAAAGGCTGACAAATCCTGTATTCATTAATAAAATCTAACTCAGGTCTCTAAACCTAAAAAGCTAAAGATTAAGTGCTACCATCACGCCTCCAATTTTCCTGCTTTGAGGCATGGTTTAAGCAGCCAATTGAACTATCTTATAACGACACATGCTTTTGTCTCTAATTATATATGTATACATGAGATAAAATAATGCCTTTTTTTTAGAGAATTGTTGCTATAAGGTGCGTGTGCTCGCCAGAGACAGAAAGAGACAAAGAGACAGGAAGTGAGAAATCATGCCCCCAGGGGCGAAAGCCACACCACAATCCCTTCACCTCCATTTTCCTCTCAGGATCTTGGGCACGCATGTACACACACACGTACCTGCTGTGAGTTTTAAGCCACTGAGTCTGGGACTCGAACCATGGTCAAGTACGCAGGAGTTCAATGATACTATGCCATCTGCTGGTCCCAATAATGAAGTCTTATTTAAAGTTGTTATTAGTGGTGTTTTAACAGTCTTTATGGGAAATACTAACAATATATAAGAAAAGTAATGGGAAATACTAACTATATATAAGAAAAATCAGCTAAGTTTTGATTTCAGACATCCTACTTCTCAAACTATATCCTTCACATAATCCTGAAGTAAAAAGCTTTAGGTTTATATATGTGTTATTTATGAAAGTGAAACATAAAAAATAAAAACATACATAATGAACTATAGGAAACTGATTTGTATCAACAATAGTATAAACACAATATAGAGTATGATACAGCTATTGAAAACAAAATTTATATATATTAGATATGAAGATATGTTTATATAAAAAAACTCATTAGGTATGTAAATGATGTAGTTAGGTGGACAACTTGGAGTTAGTGTAACAATGAAAACATAGAAAAGGGTTCCTTAAAGAAATCAGATTATGATACTATATCATGTTTAGAAGTGGAAAATCATAAGGCTAGTCAAGCTTCTGATAAGCTGGTTGACTTCATTTATGCAAAGTCAATAATAAATGCAAACTCCATCCTTACATATCAATGAGACTTGGAATCTTATAGAACTGGCAATCCCACAGATGCTCAGTCTATCCAAAGCTTCTCCAAACATTGATCTATTTTTTGCTGGTACCCTCTTGTTTATTTGCAACATTTTAAAAGAGAAGTAAACATTCCATTTGAAAAATAAAAGCAAATCCAATCTACAATATGTAGTTTTTCCCTTTCTCACTGAAAATCACCAAGAATTCAAAAGTTAATACCAAATATTCTGAGTTTTCGTAAGCCACAAACTGTCTTATCAAAACTAGTGCCTCAACAAGTATAGTAGCCTCTTAAAAAGTTATCCTGATCACTGGGAAGGCGCACTAGTCTCTGAGTTCTGGCTTTTGTGCTGACAGTTGTCAGGTATTTATGACAGCATTTTTCTCCTTACTCTGGTTGATGGTGTTCCTGGTGAGCAGTGGCTACATTTGCACGTACCTTACATGAAGACTCCATCTGCAGACCAGGACAAGGAACTGGCCCAAGCTGGTAGGAGCTGGAGGATTTCTGTTCTAGGCTTTTGTGCTTATGTGTCTCTGAAGCAACTGGAACTACAGAGTCAGGCTTTGGAAGCTGTGAATCATCACAACAATTAAGAATAATTCTTGCTCTTTCTCCTGTCTCATGTCTTTCCAAAGTGCCTGGAAAACAAAATTAGAGATAACAGCATTTTTCTCCTTACTCTGGTTGATGGGTGTTCCTGGTGAGCAGTGGCTACATTTGCACGTACCTTACATGAAGACTCCATCTGCAGACCAGGACAAGGAACTGGCCCAAGCTGGTAGGAGCTGGAGGATTTCTGTTCTAGGCTTTTGTGCTTATGTGTCTCTGAAGCAACTGGAACTACAGAGTCAGGCTTTGGAAGCTGTGAATCATCACAACAATTAAGAATAATTCTTGCTCTTTCTCCTGTCTCATGTCTTTCCAAAGTGCCTGGAAAACAAAATTAGAGATAGAAGTTTAAACAAAATAAATAACCCAATGTAATATAAAGGCAACAAAACACTCTTAGATCAATCACAGTAATCACACCTGGCTATCTTCTTGCAAGCAAAATACAGCCTGGGAGCTTTTTCTAAACTATTCAAATCACCCTCAAATAAAGGTTGAATTTATAGACTTGAAAAGCTTATCTTCCTCCTTGTGCTTTTTCATCCACTGAAATCAACAGGGCATTCAATAGTCTTTAACAGTAAAATCTCTTATTATATAGTATGCAAGTGATCAATAATAAACAGCTAAGGAATATTTTAGTGCTGTCCCCTAGTGTTCCAACTCACAAACAACAGAGAATCCACCGTGTTTTGCTTGGGTTCTCAGACTTAAAATGTTTCTATTGGTAATAACTAATTTAAATGACCAGGACAAGTAAGAACACAACTGCTGGGTGTACAACCTTCCTCATCCAAGAGCTCCTACAAACTTTTGTATTTGTTGTCATTGGTTTTATTGTTGGTATTGTTCCTGTTACAACCTTTGGTTTTCCATTATGTTATTGGAAGGGGAAAAAAAAAAAATCTTTTGCCCTCTGCCATTCTTCCAGTTTCAGAACTTCTGAGTGCTGGCAAATTCAATTATAACAAAAAAGAACAAGTAAAATATAAAGCAAAATTATCAGAAAGCAATCACAGTTAAGCGTTTCTATAACACATAATGCCATGTACTCAGTGAATCTCAATAAATATGAATTAATCATGACCTCTGCCTTTTATATCGGTTATCAGTTCATTTGCATTATTCATACTGTATTAAATATGTAACTTACATCCTCCTGAATAAAGAGGTTGAGGAAAATTAACTTGACAAACAATATTTAAATACAGATTTCATTTCCAATTATTCCTTTCCTACCAATGAGAAAGAAGTAATTGCACTATTTGTTAAGAAGGACAAGATAAATAACTCTTATTGTTGGCATTAGGAAAATATCAACCTAAAGTAATGATAATAAGAAAGTACAAATACTAATTATAGACCCTTATGTCTTTGGATAGGTAAATAAATACATCTGACAGTTAAAACTATTCAATCCTTTCTCATTCTCCCTCTTTTCTTCCTGTTTTGTATAGCAACTAAAGAACTAGTCGGTGCTTTGGATTGGAAACCAGTAACAGCTACTACACTAAAACAGTGAGCAGAATTTTAATCTTGGGTACCTTAACAACAACATATTTTCGTTAGGGCATTTCTATATTCATAAGCACCTTTAACATATGAAACTATAAAGTTATTCTTTGAAGCTTTCTATTTCCATCAAGATTGATACATTTTCAACAAATGAAACTGGTAGCAATATCAAGAGAATCCTTTCTTTTTAAGAATGATAATAAAGAGTACAGTAGGTGGTATGATGGTTGGGGCACTGGACTTCCACATGGCCAACTACAGTTCAAGTCCTGGACCTGGCAGCTTACTTTCTCACTTTCCCACTTTCTTCCTCTCTCTTTTTGGTGAGGGAATGTGCCTTGTAGCAGGCTGGAAAATAATAACAATAATAATAATAATAATAATAATAATAATAAATTAAAAATCTTTAAAAAATTATAATAAAAAGTTTCTTAAAACAAAGATGCTTATTCCTGCCTCCTGAAAATGACTGCAGTCTGTAACTTGTAATTCTGTCTTTTGGCAAAATTCATTACTTTTTTTTAAAGAGGTTTTTTTGCTGTAGAACACATGCAATCACTGGAGAGACAGAGACAGACAGAAATATAGAAAGCAAGATGTCACCTTCCTGTGGGGGATGGCCATGCTGCAACCCCTTCTCCGCCATTCTCCTCTTAGGATTTTGGGCACACGAGCACATGTGCCTAGCATGAGTTTTAAGCCACTGGTTCCGGGACTCAAACAGTGTTCCACTCCATGGGAGTCCAGCAACATAACCATTATGCCATCTGCTGGCCCCAAAATTCAGTCTTTTTGAGAAATTTCTCTTTGAATATGGTATAATCATGGATATTTTCTTCTCACACATTTTCTGTGGTTCCTCAGATGATGATATTTTAAAAATATTTAGAGAATTATTGGGAAAGAATAGGTTGCACTTTCATACATATGGCACATGCCTTATATCATGCATTTTACATATTCATGTTTTGTTCTATACCAAATGTCTTACATATATGCAACTATTTCTTATATTTTTCAGGGGTGAAAATAATTTATCTATAAATTTAGGTAGTCTTGATCCATTTCTAGCCATGCACAGATAACTGATCTACCTGAGTACCTATTTGTGCGCTATTTACTATGTCCAATGCTGACAATAAGTAGGAAACATGAATGACTCAGACCAGGCCTCCCCGTAGTTTCCTTCAAGTTTAATAGTGGATAGGCAAGAAATATCTAAAAAACTATTTTGCTCCAATACCATAAAAGCTACAGCAACATAAAAGCTATTTCACCCAAAACTGAAACTTTTCCATTCTAGCACAATGTTGGACACTTGGTTCTGCGAACAATAATTTCTAGCATGATTAATTACAAAATATTTTTAAATGATGAATATTATTTTGGTTCACAACTGAAGTACAAATGTGACAAACACAGTTGTTTTTCTATTTCTTCAAAAGTTTCATAGATAGAGAAGTAAACTACCTATTCAAAACAATAAGTTGATCTTATAATAAGTTCATATCAACAGCTTTGAAAGTCCTTGTTCAAAACTCTGACAGTGAACACGGATCTTCATTTGTGCCAGCTATCAGTTTACTGCCTCTTAGTTACAAATTCACCCTCACCTGCTTGAACTGTGACAATGGAGATGGGCTCAATAAATATCTTTTTGTTCGTTCGCTTGTAGCAGCTGGTGAAAGGTTAGCATCTGTGGGTAGTGGGTGCAGGAGAGATAGGGAAGAAAGGGTGTTTTCTTCTTAGTTGGGGTGTATGGTCTTGGAGCAGTGTGACCTGCCTCTTCAGTGCACACCTCTGCAGCCCCTCACAGCCAGCAGCACCCAGCATCCAGGAGCTTCCTTGGGCACTCTGGGGGCGGGGAGGAGGGGTGCTGTGACAATGCCTCCAGTGAGACATCTCCCTGTGGACAGCTTTCTCTGGTACCCTGGAAAAGCACATTTCTGGAAAGTTCTACCAGCACCTTACAATAGCAGCTTCTTTGCCATCCAGTAACTATAACTGCCCACTCTCCAGCAAGATTAAGAGCTGAGCCTTGGGGGGGCTTTTTCCATGGTCAGGCTCTCCCAGTTCTGGAAGGAGAGGTAATTCTTTATATCTGCTATTTCTATATTCTTTTTAAAAATATCTTAATAGCCAGTAATCAAAGGCTTTCTACAGTTAATAACTCTCTATATTAAATTTTCTCTATTCAAATTACTATGTCCTTTCTCTTGATGAATTCTGATTAATATACCATAGTAAGTCATTTCCAAAGCACAATGTTCCTTTAACTGTATCACTTTGAGAATTTATTTATGTATGTATTTATGTATGAAAGAGCATGTTTGGAGGCAGAAAGTGACCTGGTGGTTAAGACACTGGATCCCACATGGCCAAATCCATGATTCAAGTCTCGGATCCAGTGACTTGAAAAACACACTGGGCACATGTTGCACACATATCCAGAAAACCAGAGGAGACTGGAGGAGGAATGGTGGTGTGGCCATCACAGTAGGTGATTCTCACTCACCACCACTACCCACTTTTCTCTACCAAGTGCACATACCCTATAGCAAACTAAAGCAAACAACCCACTCAGAACTGTTAACGTCCTTATAAAAAGTGAAGAAAAGACTGGTTCTCACTGATTCAAAATTACTTCTATCCTGTGGGACCAGCAGTTAGCGTAATGGTTATGTCACTGGACTCTCACGTAGTCGACCGCCGTTCAAGTCCTGGACTCGGTAGCTTAAAACTCACGCCGGGCGTGTGTGCGTGCGTGCCCAAGATGCCAAGAGGAGAATGGAGGAGAAGGGATTGCGGTGTGGCCATCCCCCCTGGGGAATGATTTCTCGCTTTCTGTCTCTGTCTGTCTGTCTGGCGAGCACATGCGCCCTATAGCAAAAACATCTCAAAAAAAAAAAAATTACTTCTATCCCCAAAAGTCAGTGCACAGATGGGACCAACAGATGGCAAAATGGGTTCTGTTGCTGGCCTCCCACGTGGTTGACTGCAATTTGACCCTGGACCTGGAGGCTTAAAAACTCACACCGGATACATGTGTGTTCATACCCAAAATCCTGAGAGGAGAATGGAGGAGAAGGGATTGCGGCGAAGCCATCCCCTTTGGAGGCTGATTTCTTGCTGTCTCTCTGACTCTGTCTCTCCAGCGAGTGCACACACTCTATAGGAAAAATCTCTTAAAAAAAAAAAAAATCAGTGCATAGAAATGTAAGGAGTAACCAAGACTCAAATTCTCACTCGTATGTTTTGCTTTCACTGTCAACCCAATGCACCCTATAGCACATCTAATTAAAGTTTTTCAAACCAGAACTCTTCCTATGACCCCACGTGCAGCCAGGCATCTTGACAATGTCCTCTCAGTCAAGGCTGATGGAAGGAAATGTCATGGCATGAGAGTAAGAGCAGACACCAGCACCAGACTGCCCCATACTCAAATCCTGGTTGCACTTTTACTAGCCACGTGACCCTTGGCAAGTTAGTTTATGTTTTGTGGCTTCAGTTTCCTCATCGTTATAATGGAAATTGTAGTAATTCCTACCTCAGGAGATTACTGTGAGGACCAAATTGAGTAAATATGGTGCTTCGAGGTCCTGGCACACGGTGAGTTTGAGCTAGGTGACAGCCCTCTCTGCTGCATGCCAGGGAGATGTTGTTCAGCCCTTTGGGAGTTATTTAATAAACCTCCTTGGCTCTATGGCTCTGGAATCTGCCTGACACCCGAATCCAAGGTCACTGGGCAAACAGCCAGACTGGGTGCCGAGTGCCCTCCACCTGAGACCTGAGCCTCCTCAATCAGC